TTTACAGTTGAAGAAAATAATATAATATCAATTGTTGTGGTATTTGGTATCTGCAGAGGAAATACTTGGGATAAATAAATTTCAAAAACAGGGAACATAAAGAGATTTAAATAGAAATAAGGTTTTTGTACTAGATTTAATTTGATAAAACATTGATACAAGTAGCCTGTGATAAAGTATGTATGTATAGTTTAATATCTAGGACAACCACTTTTGAAAACAACATAAATACTATACAAAAATAGTAAAAGCATACTAAGACAAATATATGCACTCAAAACCAGTATAAATAAAAAGAATCTTTAAAAGTACTCAACCCTCTAGGGGCTCCTAGAGATTTCTTAGTATTTTCTCTGTAGATGATCATTTCATCTACATATAAAGATTTTGCTTCTGCTGTGCCAATCCTATCCTAGGTGTGTCATTTTATTGCCAAACTATTTTGGTTTAGACCTATGTTTCAAAGTCTAATGGACAGATGAAGAGTAGGCATATATGCCCTTGTTCCCCACTTTAGGGAGAAAGCATTGTATCGTCTCCATTCATAGAAGGAGTTTCTGGTGGAAGTATGGAGTACATGTCTTTGATCTATTGAGAAGGTTCTGTTCTACTTCTAGTCTCCTGATAGCTTTTACCATGAACAGCTGTGGAATTTAGTCCAATACTCTTTCTCCAACTAGTGACAGGATCATATGGCTTTTTCCTTTCCTCTGTTAAAATGATGACTTTTGGGGGTGGATCTTCCAATGCTGAACCAACACTGCCATCCCTATAATAAAACCACTTTCTACATCCTGCCAGATCTGACTTCTAAGAGTGTGTTTTGTTAAACAAATTTCTATCTATGTTCATACTTTTTTCTTCTATTATCTTTATCCAGTTTTAGGATTAGCACAATGTTGATTTCCTAAAGTGAAGGGAGGAGTGTTCCTTCTTTTTTCTGCTTTAATTGTTTGATGTAATTTATCAGTTAAAATGTTTATGAGCCTGCTGTTGTCATATAGGTAGGTTTTCAAGCTAGGAATATACTTTCTTTAATAGGTGCTATTCAAATTTTATATTTCCTCCAGAGTTAGTTTCATTAATTTGTCTTCTAAGTTACTTCTTAGAAGTTGTCAAATTTATTTCAAAAAAGATTTTTGTAATATGCTTTCTATATCCTTTTAAATTCTGTAAAATCTGTGGTAATGTCTCCTAGATCTTAATATTGTAATTTTTAAAAAGTATAACTGATATTGTGTAACAGGAAGAAAAGGGATAAAAGAGCAGGGGAATTGGGAGGGGTAGGGGAAGGGAAAAAAGGGAAAGGAAAAAATATGAGAAGAGGAAAAAAATAGAAACAAGGTCTTTGCAAATAGGGAAGGGTGGAGGAGTTGAAGGGAGGGCAAGGGAAGGGGAAAAAAATAAGAACCAAGAGACTCATACAATGGTACAAGATCCCAATGATGAATGTAACTGTATTTTATACCTAAAATGTACCAATAAAGTTAATGGGGAAAATAAATAAATAAATAAATAAATAAAAGTACTCAACCCACAAGAAGACAAGAAAAGAGAAACAGAAATGAAAAATTGAGGAAATAAATAATAAAAATAATTAAAAGTAGCATATTTATGCCCTAATATCTCACTAGTTACTACAAATGTTAGTAGTCTAAATATACAATTAAAAGAAAAAGATTGTCACAACAGCTAAAGACACATGGCCCAACAACACACTGTCTACAAGAAATTTACTTCAAACATAAATCTTGGAAGCAGGCTATATGTCCATCAATAGAAGAATAGATTTTAAAATGTAGTATTTCTACACACTGAATTATTACTCTGCTATAAAGAAGGATAAACTTGAGTCATTTGTAGGAAATTCACCGTAAGGCCATAATGTTAAGTGAAATAAATCAGACATACAACAGACATATCACATGGTTTCTCTTACATGTGAAACACAAAATATAAATAAAGAGCAAAATAAAAGATGAATAATAGAAAATGGAGACAGAGCTTTTGGAAAAGGGAAATCACAGAGATGTAGGGAAGGAAGAGGGAAAGGAGGACAAGACAATGAAGAAAGAATTAAGATGTGTTATGTGCATGTACCAACTTCTCACAAGAAATGTAATCATTATGTAGTGCAAACATGTACCAATAAAAATAAAAATTTAATAAAAAAATAAAAAACATAATTGCACAGTTTGAAAGTATATTCATTCATTTTTTTATTACTATAATGAAATTTCTGAGACTGAGTAACTTTACAAACAAAAAAGGTTTATTTTGGTTCACAGTTCTGGTCCAAGGTCATGGGGCCACATCTGGTAATAGCCTTCTTGCTGGCAGAAATCTCAAAACAGCACAAGAAGTCACATGGTAAGAGACAGGGGACATGTATGAGTCTCCCATCTCTCTTCCTTCTTACAAAGCCATCAATTTCAGTACTAGGAAATCCACCCTGATGAGCTTATATAATCCTATTCACTCCCACAGCTCCCACCACCTTTAAACACTGCAGTCAGATGAAGTTTCTGCCCTCTTAATACCTCAATTTCAACACATGAATGTGTCCCTATGGGGGACACACTCAAACTGTACACAAACCAGAGCAGAAAATGAAAGAATGAGAACAGATGTGTCAGGCTAACAATAATCATTTTTTTTAAATAATCATTTTTAAAAGCAGTCATGGCTATGTTAACTTCAAATAAAGTAGACTTCAGAGCAAAGAAAATTATAAATGACAAAGAGGGACACTACCTAATGGTAAAACAATTCACTGTGATAGGATAGTGATCCTAAATGCATATGCACTGAACAATAGTTTCAAAGCACATTTCTATGGTCTGAACATTCCCCTGAAAACCATGGATTGGAGATTTATCCACAATGCATCACTGCTAGAGGTGAGACCTTTGGGGAAGTGTTTGGGTCATGAGGCCAAAGCCATCATAAATGGATTGATAATGCCATGTAAAGGGCTTGTGGACATGGGCTTACCCTCTCTTGCCTTTCTGCCTTCCACCACGTGAGAACACAGTAAGAAGGTCCTCATTTATGCCAGAACCTTGATCTTGGACTTTCTAATCTCCACAAATGTGAGAAACAAATTTCTGCTGTTCATACATTGCCTTGGTATTATATTCTTTGTGAAATAATCAGATATTCTGTTATAGCAGCATAAATGAACTAAAACACACATGAAACCAAACTGATATAAATGAAAAGAGAAACAGATAAGTACACAATTATCACTGGAGATGTCAACACCCTACTCTAAGCTACTAGATTAAAAATAAGCAAAAATATGGAAGAACTGAGCAACAACATCAAGCAACAGGAACTGATAAGCATTTATAAAACATTCAACAACAGCAGCATACATATTCTTTTCAAGTCCCCTTAGAAAATTTACTGCAGTAAATCATACCCTGTATCACAAAGCAAACCCCAACAAATTTAAAGGAAGTCAAATCTTGGAGTTTTTTGACAACCAAATGGAATGAAACTAAAACTCAATAATACAAAAAGGAAAACTTCAGATACTTGGAAATTAAATATCATAGTTTTACACAATAAAAAGGACAAAGAGGAAACCTCAAAGGAAATTTTTAAATGCATAAACTGAATGAAAATCCAAATAGAACATTGTATAAAATGCTAATGTACTGCTAAGAAGAAATTTTACAACATTTATGGCTTACCTTGGAAAAGAGATTTTGAATCAATACTCTAAATTACTACATCAAAAACTAGAAAAAGAAAATAAAAACTGTTATAGTTTATGTCTAAAATGTCACCCCAAAGTCTCATGTTCAAAGGTGAGGCTTTGAGAAGGTGTTCGAATCATGAGGGCGCTGTACTCATGTATTGTTCAGAGGTGGTGTCTGGTCAGTATAGTTGGGTCAGTGAGGAGCGGGGAGTGACCTGAAAGAGTGTATTCTTTTTCATGGCTCCCCTCCTCTCCCTCTCCCTCCTCTCCCTCTCCCTCCTCTCCCTCTCCCTCTCTCTCTCCTGCCTGGCTGCCATGAGATGAGAGCTGTCCTCTGCCAGGCCCTTCTACCATGCCTTCTGTGCCTTAGAGCCAGCTGACTTTGGACTCAACCACTAGAAACTGTGAGCCAAATTAACCTTTCCTTCTTAAGTTGCAGGTGTCAGGCATTTTGGCCCAGCAATAGGAAAGTGACTAATACAAAAACCCAAAGCAAACATAACAAAGGAAATAATATTAATAATAATTATGACAAAATTGGTAAAATTTAAAACAGGAAGAAAATGGAAAAACCCAGTGAAATCAAAACTGGTTGTTGGGAATATAAATTAATAAAAATAGTAAACTTCTACAAAACTGGGAAATATAAAAAAGGAAGAGACAAAAATCATCAATATAGTAAGTCCTCAACTTACAAATGAGTTCAATTCTGGGAAAACATTTATAAGGCAGATTTCTTTGTAAGTCCAACAAAGTGAGTCTTCTACACCTTTGACACAAATATACAATGTAAAGCATAAAGATACCAAACACACACACACATAAATACTATAAATGAATTATTTTTGCTTTTACAGTCATCTTAGAATGGTAAGCTAGAAACATGAGCTAGGTCTGCAATTTGTATCTATGAATGTTTATAATTCGAGGTCCTTTGAATCTGTGAAAGTTCGCAACTCGAATGTTTATGTCAGAACTTACTGTGTCAAGAATGAAATAGATATCACTACAGAACCAGAAGTCATGAAAAGGAGGGTGCCAGGTTTGAATGTCCCCTCCAAAATTCATTGTAATTTAATTGCCACTGTGACAATACTGGGAGATGAGACCATTACGTGATTAGATTATGCCCTCCTGAGCAGATAAATGCTGTTATCACAGGAGTGGGTTAGATGTCATGGGAGTGGCTTTGTTATAAAAGCATTATCTTTCCCATATGTGCATTAGTGTTCACCCTCCCTCACTCCACACTCCCTTGCTTCTGCTCTCTTTTGCACACAGTGTGGTGTCTTACCATGTGATGCTTCCTGTCCTGATATGATGCAACCAGAAGACTTTATCAGATGCCAGCACCATGGTCTTAAACTTCCTAGGCTGCAGAAGAATAAGAGATAAATTTCCTGTGTTACTCTGTTATGGCAGCAGAAAATAGACTAAGACAGAGAATAATAAAATACAAAAATAATTTTATACTCATAAGTATGATAATTAGAACTGACCAATTTCTTGCAAACTATCAAAGCTAGCATAGATAATATAAATATCCCTATAATTACTAAAGAAGTTAAATATGTAATTTGAAACTACCAGTAAAAGAAACACCCTACACCAGATGGTGTCACTAGAGAATTTTATCAAACACTTTAACAAAAATTATTACCAATTTTATACAATCTCTTTTTGCAGAAAACAAGAGGAAGAAATTCATCTCAACTAATTTTATGAAGCCAGTATAATCTTGATACCCAAACCAGGGAAAAATAGTACTAAAAAAGAAAACTACAAACCAATAACTCTCATGCTACCCAAATGCAAAGATCTTAAATGAAATAATACAAATAGAATCCAACAATGTATAAAAAATTATAAACCATAACCAGTAGGATTTAATCAAGGTATGTAAGGCTGGTTCAACATTTGAAAATTAATCATTGTTAATCTATCATATCAGCAGACTAAAGGAGAAAAATCATCTCATATTTAACTGATTTAGTAAATACATTTCATAAAACCCAACACTAACCTGATAAAAACTCTCTGGAAGCCAGGAATAAAAAAAGGGCTACCTCAAATCAATAAAGAGCATCTATAAATGTCTACAGCTAATGTGACATTTAATGATGCCAGTTTAAATATATTCCCCCTAATATTGGAAATAAGGAAATCTGTCCTCTCTTGCAACTCTTATTCAATATTTTACTAGAAATGCTAGCCACTACAATAAAGCAAGGAAGATTAAAAGACATACTGATTATAAAGGAAGAAATAAAACTGTATAACTGCCTCCATAGACACTCCCAAAGTGGGCCAGGGATGTAGCTCAGAAACACAGCACCTGCCTGGCAAGTGCAAGGTCCTGAGTCCTATCCCCGAAGTTCCTAGAACTTATCAATGTGTTCAGCAAGGTTGTAGGCAACAAAATCAATACATAAATATCAGTCACATTTCTATATAGTCACAATGTTCTATGAAACAAGAATCTGAAAACAAGCAGGAGTAGCTATCCTATTTTAAAAGTAGATTTCAAGCCAAAACTGATCAGAAGAGGCAAAGAAAGTCACTTCATATTGGTTAAAGGAACAATTCAACAGGAAAAGATAACAATTATAAACATATACACCCAAACACTGGTGCACTCAACTTTATAAACACAACTGAACATAAAAAATCAGATAAACATCAACACAATTATAGTGGATGATCTCAATACCCTACTATCACAAATACACCGAACAACTACACAAAAAATCAACATAGAAATATCAAAGTGGAACCACAATTTTTAACAGACTTAATAAATATCTACAGAGTGCTCCACTCAACAAAAACAAAATACACATTCTTAGCAGCACATGGAACTTTCTCCAAGATGGACCATATGCTCGACCATAAAGCATGCTTAAGTAAATAAAAAAGAATGGAAATTATATCATGCATATTATCAGATCATAGTGCAATAAAACTAGAAATCGAGGTCAAAAAAATCCCCACAGAAGTTATGCAACACATGGAAATTAAACAACACACTTGAATAATACAGTGGTTCACAGAAAAAAATAAGGAAGAATTTAGACAGTTCCTAGACTCCAATGATAATCCCAGTACAACATACCAAAACTTATGGGATACAGTGAAAGTAGTCATAAGAGGGAAGTTTATACCTGTGAATGCCCATATCAGAAAAACAAAGAAAGCCCAAATACATAACCTAATAATGTACCTCAAGGTCCTAGAAGAACAATAACAATCCAAATAAAGCCAGTACAAGGAATGTAATTATAAAGATCAATTATAATGAAATTGAGACTCAAAATATATATGAAGAATCAATATATCAAAGAGCTAATGTTGCCAGGGATTTGGCTCAGTGGTTCCACTGCCTGCCTTGCAAGTGCAAGGTCCTGAATTTGATCCCTGGTACCAAAAAAAAAAAAAAAAAAAGACATATAGCCTCATAGATCAAAGAGCTAGTTCTTTGAAAAAATAAACAAAATAGGGCTGGGGATTTAGCTCAGGGGTTCTGCCACCTGCCTCACAGGTGCAAGGTCCCAAGTTCAATCCCTGGTACCAAAAAAAAAGAATAAACAAAATAGATAAACCCTTAGCTAATATTATCAAAAAAAGAAAACAGAAAAGACCCAAATCAATACAATTAGAAATGAAAAAAGCAAAATCATAATGGACACTGCCAAAATCCAGAAGATTGTCAGTAACTACTTTGAAAACCTGTACTCCAATAAATTGGAGAATCCAGAAGAAATGGATAGATACATATGAATTACCAAAATTGAACCAAGAAGATATAAAAACCCTAAATAATCCAGTAACAAGCAATAAAATTGAAGCAATAATGAAAAATAAACTACCAACTAAGAAAAGCCAGGACCCAATGGATTTATTGCTGAATTCTACAAAAATTCCAAGGAAGATCTAATACTAATACTCCTCAAACTCTTTAATGAAATTGGAAGGGAAGGAGTACTCCCAAAGTAACCCAACCAAAACAGAGAACTATAGGCTAATCTCTTTAATGAATTATAGGTACAAAAATCCCCAAAAAGATATTGGCAAGCAGATTGCAATAAATGATCAAAAAGACTATTTATCATGACCAAGTTGGCCTCATCCCAGGGATTCAGGGATGATTCAACATACACAAATCAATAAATTTAATATGTCATATAAACAGAACCAAGGACTGGCAAAAAAAAATTTAAAAACCTGAAGACAAATGGAACAGACTATAAGACACAGAAAGAACCTCAAACACACTTAGCCACCTTATCTTTGATAAAGGGGCCAAACATGTTCACTGGAAGAAAAATAGTCCCTTTAATAAATGGTGCTAAAAAAACTGGCTTTCTATATGCTAAAGACTAAAACTAGACCCATGTCTCTCACCATACATTAAACTAAAATCAAAATGGATCAAAGATCTAAATAATAAAACAGAAACACTAAATCTGCTGGAAGAGAGAATAGGTAGAATGCTTGAGGACATAGGAGTAAGCAAAGACTTCATTAAGAAAATGCACACCACATGGGAAATACTACAAAGAATCAATAACTGGGACCTCATCTTATTCAAAAGCTTTTGCATGGCAAAAGAAATTACTTACAGAGTGAAAAGACAACCCACAGAGAGGGAAAAAAATTTTAGCCAGCAGTTTCTCAGACAAAGGACTAATATTTAGAACACATAAAGAACTGAAAAAAAGTCAACCCCTCCAAATTTAAAGACTCAACTCAAAAATGGGCATCTGAGATGAATACACACTTCTGAGATGAAAAGTAGAAATGGCAAATAAATATAAGAAAAAATGTTTAACATCACTGGTTATTCAAGAGATGCAAATTAAAACAATGCTGAGATTCCATCTCACTCCAGAAAGAATGGCTGCTGTCAAGAAATGAACCAAGGGCCGGGGATTTAGCTCAGTGGTTTCGTCGCCTGCTGTGCAAGCACAAGGACCTGAGTTTGATCCCCGGTACCAAAAAAAAAAAAAAGAAAGAAAGAAATGAACCAAGAACAAATGCTGGCAGTGCTGTGGGGAAAAAGGAACCCTTCTCCACTGTTGGTGGGAGTGTAGACTGGTGCAAGCACTTTGGAAATTGGTGTGGAGACTCCTCAAAAAACTAGGATTAGAGGTGTCATTTGACTAGCTATTTTCCTTCTAGGCATTTTCCCAAAAGAATTAAAAGAATCATACCACAGCAATATATGTGCACCCATGTTTATAGTGGCACATTTTGTAATAGCTAAATCTTGGAAATGCCCATCAACCAATGAATGGATAAAAAAGCTGTGGAGTTTTTTATATAATGGAGTACTATTCAGCCATAAAGAAGGATAAACTTGAGACATTTCTAGGTAAATGAATGCACCTTAAGAACATACTCTTAAGTAAAATAAATCAAACATGGATCTGTAAATATTGCATTGTCTCTCTGGCATGAGAAACTGAAAGTGAAAATAAAAACCAAAAAGAATAATAAATATGGGGCCGGGGATTTAGCTCAGTGGTTCCAGTGCCTGCCTCACAAGCACAAGGTCCTGAGTTCGATCTCCGGTACCAAAAAAAAAAAACCAAACAAAGAATAATAAATATTGTGACAGAGGAAGAAATTTTTCAAAATTATATAAAATGTGAGATACTTTTTCAATACTTAAAGTGTTTTATGCAAAAAAGGTATAGTTTTATTAGGAATTGAGCTGAGAGATAGATCAGCAAATGAAAATATTCACTTATAAGATCATGATACACTGTATTTACCATGGTTATTTTCTACTAATTTTTGTCATGAAAAATTATTTTTTCATAGAACAGCTTTTATATTTTCTTCATTAATATCTATTTGTAATACATTAAAATTAAAAATTAAAAAATAAGACTGTATTCATAGCCTTGAACTATAGAATTAATCATAACAATATAATTAAATCTGCTTGAGCTTGCCACTTAAAGCAAAAAAAAACAAAAAACAGAACCAACAACAAAACTCACACTATCATCTCAATAGACAGATAAAAAGCCTTTCACAAACTCCAACATTTATTCACGATAAAAACCCTGAAGCAATTAGCTATCAAAGGACCTTCTCTCAATCTGATGGAAGCCTTTTATGACAAACCTTTTTCCAACATCATATAAAATGGAGAAAAGCTGCAAGCTTTCTCTAAAATCAGGAACAAGGCAAGGATGTCCACTATCATCACTGCTGTTCATCATAATACTCAAAACATTAGCCAGAGAAATCAAGCAAGAAAAAGAAATAAAAGGGATATGGGTAGGAAAGGAAAAAGTCAAATTATTATTTGCAGAAGATGTAATCTTCCACTTATAAGAGCCCAAAAAATTCCACCAAAAGAGTCC